ACTCTAGTCACATGTGCTTGCAGCAGGAGAGATGACACGGGTCTCAATAGAGGCTGGTCTTTTTCATGATGCACAGGAACTCCTGTTCATTGACCTCGCCGTCTCCATCTCGGTCGGCTTCATCAATCATCTCCTGCAGCTCCTCATCGGTCAGGTTCTCGCCCAGCTCTTTGGCCACGCGCTTCAGATTTCTGAACGATATTGTTCCGGTCTCATCATCATCGAAGAGCTTGAAAGCTTTCAGGATTTTTTCCTTGGTATCTTTCTCAGACATTTTCTGAGTCATCACGGTCAGAAAGTCGCTGAAGTTCATTTTGCCTGTCCCCTCCTTGTCAATTTCGCTGATCATTTTCTGGATTTCTTCTTTCCTGGGCTCAAAGCCCAGCGCTCTCATTGCCACCTTTAGTTCCTTTACATCGATGGTCCCAGTCCCATCTGCATCAAAGAGATCAAAAGCTTCCCAGATTTCCTGTTTCTGCTCTTCAGTCAGCTCTGGCTTAGGACTCATCCTTTTTCTGGGAGCACTTGACGCCATGTTTGCCTTTTTAAAATTGGAGGCTCGTTCAGTATGGCGTAATAAAAGCCAATCGATTCAGCACCTTGGTGCTTCCTTCCACCAAGAAGCAGCTCCTGAATGCCCCTGGCTAAAATTGCAAAATGTACTTTAACTATCAACACAATAAATCTCCCAGCTCCACGCGAAAACTGGCAGTGTGGGGGCCTGTTGGCCAGGGTCTGTGAGGGATCGGGACCCACAGAGAACCTGAGATCTCTTTGCACAAGGCGAGTGATTGGGGAGGGTGTTTGGGGAAGGCCAAAGGAGCCGGCGAGGCGCCAGCTGGGGGAGGACACTAAGGGAAGGGAAGGCCCAGCCACGCGGCCGCATCTCTAATCGCTACCCTACTCTTCTGGGATGGAGCTCAAAGGAACACCGGGTACGCCAAACCAGAGAAAGGCGCAGAAGAGGCGGCGCGGCGGGACTGGTGCCTGGGAAGGGCACAGTCACGCGGCCAGGGCGCGAAGAGGCGGCCGGCACTCACCATCGCAGCCGGACCTTCTTCTATTATTTCTGCCCATATTTTTTTTTAATGTCATTTGTATTCACCCCTTCTTTCTCATTGATACCTATTAGTCCCACATGGTTCATCTCTGCATCATCTTGCAGGTGATGGATTATTGTTTCCTGCAT